TACTTCCTCTGGACTTTTCTTGGTGTTCTCTTTCTAATTCTTTTAGTTGTAGTATTATAGATAGTTTATTTCAACTTTTTCTTGTTTCTTGAGGTATGCCTGTGATGCTATGAATTTTCTTCTCAGGATTGCTTTTGCTGTGTCCCATAGACTTGGGGTTGTTGTCTGTTCATTTTCGTTTTTAACTAGGAATTTTTTTATTTCTTTCTTGATCTCTTTGGCAACCCATTCATTGTTTAATAACATGCTATTTAGACTCCATGTGTTTGAATATTTTTGAGTTTTTTACAAAGTGATTGATTTCTTGTTCTCTGCCATTGTGATTTAAGAATATGCTCACTATGATTTCATTCTTCATAAACTTGTAGAGACTTTTTTTGTGCCCTATTATGTGGTGTATTTTTGAGAACGTTCCATGTGCACTTGAGAAGAATGTATATTCTGCTGCTTTGGGATGAAATGTTCTGAAATATCAATTAAATGCATTAGATCTATTGTGTCTTTTAAGGTCTTTGTTTCCTTGTTGATTTTTGTCTAAATGATGTATCCAGTGAGAATAGTGGGGTGTTAAAGTCCCCTTCTATGGTTGTATTGTTGTTAATATCCCCCTTACAGTCCACCAAGACTTTTATATATTTAGGTGCTCCTATATTACTGGCTAATATGTTTATATGGGTTATATCCTTCTGCTGGATCAATGCCTTTGGTATTATATAGTGACCTTCTTTGTCTCTTGTTATGTTCTTTATTTTGAAGTCTGTTTTGTTAGAAATAAGTATTGCTACCCCATCTTTTTGGTTTGTTTGTTTTATTTCAATTTCTCGTGGAATATTTGTTTCCATCCCTTCATTTTCAGCCTGTGTGAATCCTTTGCTCTGAGATGGGTCTCTGGTAGACAGTATATATATATGAGTCATATTTCTTATCCACTCAGCCACCCTGTGACTTTTGAGTGGTGTACTTATTCCATTTATATTTAAGGTTTTTATTGATATATATTTATTTTACTCCATTTTTCCCCTTTATGCCTATGTACCTTTCTATCAATATATTTTTTTTCTTAGAGCAGTCCTTTTAGCATTTCTTGCGAGCTGGGTTGGTGGTACTGAGCTCCTTTATCCTTCTTTAGTCTGGGAAGCTCTTTATTTCGTCTTCAATTTTATTGTTTTTATTTTTTACTTTTTTATTTTAAAAATTTTTTTAAATATATCTTTATTGATTCCAGAGAGAGGAAAGGAGAGGGAGAGAGAGATAGAAACATCAATGATGAGAGCGTCATTGATCGGCTGCCTTGAGCCCGCAACCTGGGCATGTGCCCTGACCAGGAATCGAACCCCTATCACCTGGATCCTAGGTCCACGCTCAACCGCTGAGCCACGCCCGGCCGGGCTAACCTTCAATTTTAAATGAGAGCCTTGCTGTATAGAGCAGTCTTGGTTGCAGGTTCTTGCTTTTCATTACTTTGAAAACTTCATGCTAATCCCTTCTGGCCTGAGGTGATTCTGTTGAGAAATCTTCTGACAACCTTATGGGGCATCTCTTGTTGGTCACTGATTGTCTCTCCTGGAGCCCTTAATATTCTCTCTTTGTCCTTAACATTTGCCATTTTGATTGTGGTGTGTCTTGGAGTGGGTCTCTTTGGGTTCCTCTTGTTTGGTGCCCTCTGTGCTTTCTGAACTTGGTAGGCTTTCTCCTTCGCCAGCTTAGAAAAGTTTTCTGCCGTTATTTCTTCCAACAGGTTCTCTCTCCCTTGCCTCCTTCCCTCCCCCTCTGGCACCCCTATTGTGCACATTTTGTTTTGTTTCATGTTGTCCCTCAGTTCCCTTAAACTGTCCTCATGTTTTTTAAGTATTTTCCTGCTTGCTGCTCTGGTTGAGTTGTTTTCCTACCTTATCTTCTAATTCACTTATTCAGTCCTCTGCTTCATTGAGCCTGCTTTTAATTCCTTCCAGGGTATTCTTGATGTTAGATATAGTATTCTTCATTTCTGCCTGGTTCTTACTCCTAATATCTATATGTTTTCTCATGCTGATGTAGCTTTCGCTAAGTTCTTTGTATTTCCCACTAAGTTCCTGGAAGTTCCCATTAAGTGTCTTGTGGCTCTCACTAATTTCCTTGAACATGTTTATAACCATTTCTCTGAACTCTTATTTCTGATAACTTGCTTATCTCCATCTCATCAAGGTCTTTTTCTGGCAGTGTTTGGTTTTCTTTCGTTTGGGCGATGTTTCTTTGTCTCTCTGTTTTAGTTGTCTCTTTGAGGTTGTATCGGTGATTTACATATATTTGCTGTCTCCCCGTCTTGTGGTGTGGGCTTTTGTAGTGAATATCCAATGGGACCCAGAGGTGTGTTTCTCTTATACTTCTCAGCTATATGCTCTAGGCATGTCCCTTTGTGAGTTCTTTGGGCTCTCCTATTGTGATTGGGTCTAGATTGTTATTTTCCTTCCAGGATGTTGAAGTAAAAAAAAAATAAAAAAGTAATTAATTTTCAATAGGGTTAAAAATTAGCTCTGCCAGTTCCTGGGACTTTAGAATGGTCAGTATTCCAGAGGAAAATTCCTAGAAGGGTCAGTCTTCAGGCACAGCAACCAAATCAAAGTGCTTCGTGTCCTTTGTTCTCAAAATACATTTTCTGTTGTGAGCAATGGACCCACCCAGGTCCCATTGTGTCTCTTATCTTCTTACAGCTCTGTTTTTCTTCTTGCAGCACATCCTCCAGTTTCCCAGGTTCTGAACGAAAACTTCTTATCTATAGTTAGTACAGTGAATAATCATTAAACAACTATGGTCCTATTCCTGTTAGGTGCCTTCCCTTCTTTCACAACCACTGTCAACAGAGCATGAGCAAGATCTATGCCCCCAACAATTCCCCCCTACCAAAGGGAGGGAGCTTTGCAGCCTCTAACCCTCAGTCCTACCAGCCAAACATGAACTTCGGGGGGGGTGAGGGGGGACGCTGCCTCATTCCACACCTCCCCCTCTCTTACCAGTCTCTACAATATTTCTTCAGTGCTTTGTATTCAAAGTATATCCAATCAGTTATATTTCCATTGTTTTTACAAGTTGCCTATGCAATAGTTTAGCTATAAATCTAGTCCACGGCTGAGAGCAGGGGCACTCAGCCTCTTCTTAGAAGGCCACTACTTTTAAACTACCCCAATCTTATATTTTGAAATAGTTTAGTCCATATTTTTTCTGATCTGTCAAATCCTGACGCTTTTGTAATAGTCAGTGCTTACCATAGCATTCCTTGAGCACCACTGGGTACAGAGTGTAGTAGACAAAGGAGGCAAATGGTCCCCGATCTCTAGGAACTTGCCTCCTGAGAGGAGACTGAGCCTGAAGTGAGAAGTCATCATCAGTTTGCATTTCAAACTGTGGAAGAGTAATCTGATGAAGGGTTGTCAAGTGTTCTTAGGGGAGAGGTGTGTGGGAAATGAACTCAGAAAAAATGGAAAGGATGCATACCTATAAATATAGTTTAAAGCCAAAAGTATTTCTGCTGTCTCTTCAAATTACTGTTGAAGGAATATTCTGCTTATTCCCGAAGAAAGCAAAAGCTAATAGTTGCTAGAGGCAAGCACAGCACATTGTTCAGTAAAACCCCGCCACTGTCACTTCCAATCTTACCAAGGACCTTTCCATTCATTCTCTACTCCCTGCCTGCTCTCAGGCCTTATTCTGGGGCTGTTGAAAAAGAGAAAATAATTTACTTTCATGTTCTTATTCTGTTATGCCCAGATGTATGTGACGACCCACCGAACTTCCATTTTATGAGACCCAAGGGTAATGTTACACCCCCTTATAATTTTGGGGTTGAAATAGACTATGAGTGTCGCCCAGGACACGAGCCTAAGGATGTTCATCTTCCGACCCGTATTGTTTGTCAGAGGAATGCTACCTGGACAGAGATCATGGAGGCTTGTAAAAGTAAGTACCCAAAACTTTTTATTTTTATTACTCTAAAGATTTTCACACATTTTACAGTGCATGTTGCACTGTTACAATGATGGGTTTTCTCAGGTGGATGTAGATTTTTAGATAGCAATGTATTTTTTCAGGCTTTGAAATTCTTCAGGAAATTTTTTATTTGACTATTGATTCTCTGGGGCAATGTGAATCTTAAGTTTGGCCATTAGTGACAACATGGATGGACTTAGAGAATATTATGCTGAGCAAAATAAGTCAGAAAAAGCTAAGAACCATTTGATTTCACTCATATGTGAGATATAAAACTGAAACTATTAGACAAGTTTGCTGGTTACCAGAGGAAAGTGGGCTTGGGGAAAAGAGTAAAAGGAACCAAATATATGTGACAAAAAATGATCTGACATTGGGTTGTGGGGACACAATGCAAATTACAGATCTTATATCATAGACTTGTACACTTGAAACATATATATATTTATTAACCAGTGTGAATCCAATAAACTTAATAAAAATAAATAAGAAAATATTTCCATGAATTTAATAGAGCAATGTATAATTTTTATTTTGATTCAAATCTGTTTTGACATTGTATAAAACGACAAATTTGAAAATTTTCTTTTAGAAAAAACATGTCAAAAACTAGGTATACTCGTAAATGGCCAAATAATCTTCTCTGATGGAACTAACGAGTATGGTACACGAGCTCAGTATGTTTGTTTTGACGGGTAAGTAAGTTGGTCCTTTGAGAACTAAGGTAAATGTTACTAGGTCCTTTTTTTCTTTGATTCTCTTCTGAAGCATTTCCATAATGTTGATTTTATCTCCCTTTCTGTGTAACAAGTTGTACTTATAGCCAATCAACTCTTGGGCTTTTTATGGAGACTGAAAACTTATGTAATAAATAGAAAGAAATTTAAATTGAAGGGAAGAAAAATTGTATAAAAACTGTACTGTAAGTAATAATAAGCCTATTGTAGTCATTAAAAATGTAGTAATCATAGTGGCATGGTCCTAAATTAATTTATTATAGGACAGAGGGTGGGAAGGAGAGACAAGGAGTTAATCAGTTAACAGAAGCAAAGGGCAGAGACTACTGAAATGTGTGTTGAACCTCTGAATCAACTTCCAGAGCTATTTCAGAATAGTGTTAATAAGAGGTAGCTGACCACCAGGTTTCACCGCATCCTGCTTGCACATGAACTTTTCAGACTGTTGCCAGCAAAGAATCAGAAAGCAGCAAACCCTTCTTCCTACGGGCAATGCCCCTAGCCCCACTTCTTCTGCCCCCTTATCTATAGCCAATGTAAATTCCTTCAAAATAACTTACATCTTTCTCCTCAAAACTATAGAAGAACCCCATGAAACCCAGGATGGCAGAAATGTTTGCCTTCCTCTATCCCTGCTGCTGGTTTAGACGTGCCCCAGGACCTGCTTCTTTTTTTCTGGCTGGCATATGGCTAGTCAATAAACCGGTTCCTTCAGAAAAACTTCACAACTTTACCCCGTTGTGGTCAGAGAAGATACTTTGTAGGTTATCTATCTTTTTAAAACCTATTGATTAGTTAATATTAATTTGTGGCTCAGTGTATGGTCTATCCTAGAAGATGTCCCATGTGCACTTGAGGAGAATGT